ATATATTTCTTTTATTTAGATATCTGCCGGTGGCTGCAGTTCCGCATATGAAGGCAAATGCTGCCGCCAGTCCAAACCCTAAACCCTAAACCCTAAACCCTAAAAATATAAATGGGGGTTTGGCGTTTCACCGTTAGCTTCGATTCAAGAGGGGGCTCCAAAACCCTAGCCCTGAAGCCCGGTCCGCAAACCCTAAACCCTAAACCCTAAACCCTCAAAATGATGGCCCGAACCGTATAAACCCTAGTTCCCGAGATTTCCAGGCTCCCGCCTGGAAACCCCGGCTAAACCCTAAATTAGGGTTTAGAGCCTCGGCTCAGAAGGGCAGAAGCAGCCAACCATGCCCTGGCCTCTTTCATCTAGGGTTTAGGGTTTAGGGTTTAGGGTTTAGATCTAAAGTGTAATTGTTTGACCCTTCATTTCAACTTGGGTTTCTTCTGCGCCGGCGGCTCCTCAACTGCGGCTGCAAAGGAAAAAAGACAAAAACTATTTCCTTCAAATGAATTTATTTTATTTATTTTATTTATTTATTTATTTAATAAATTTATTTATATTTATTTATTTATTTATTTATTTATTTATTTATTTAAAATTTAAAGCATATTCTTTTTATTTATTCAATTAAACAATATCAACAAGTTGAGCTCTTCATTCATTCAGAAACGAACGCCCCGCATTCTGGAAATAAGATGAAGACGAAATTCAAAACAAAAACGAAATAAATAAAAATAAATATAAATAAAAAAGTAAAAACAAAACAAATAAATAAAAATAAATATAAATAAAAAAGTAAAAACAAAACAAATAAATAAAAATAAATATAAATAAATATAAATAAATATAAATAAATAAAAATAAATAAAAATATGAATGGAGGAGTTGAATCTGAGATACGCAAAGGCGTGCACACTGCCAGAAATGCAAATAAAGTTCATTTCTTTTTTTTATTTATTTTTATTTTCAACTTTCTTTTTATTTATTTTTATTTTCAACTTTCTTTTTATTTATTTTTATTTTCAACTTTCTTTTTTATTTATTTTATTTTCAAAATATTAAATGAAGTCTTTCTTTCCATCGGAAAAGAAAACGGCGTTTTTCCCTTTCACTGACACATAAACTTCATTTCTTTTATTTATTTTTATTTTCAACTTTCTTTTCTTTTATTTATTTTATTTTTAATTTTCTTTTCTTTTATTTATTTTTATTTTCAAAACATTCAATGAAAGTCTTTCTTTCCATCTTTCACTGACACGAGAAAACGCGCATGCATGCAGTTCAACTTCCGTTTATGTTTCTGTTTCTGCTTTGCATGCATTTATATTTACATTCCCAGAAAGCCAATTAAATAAAATAAATTTAATTGCATTTTTAAATAATTAAAAAGCAGAAGCAAAGACATGAAAGAGTGGAGGAACCTAGGGTTTAGGGTTTAGGGTTTAGGGTTTAGGGTTTAGGGTTTACGGCCATGGGGATGATGGAGAAAAGCGCCAAAATGAAAGAGTCGAGGAACCTAGGGTTTAGGGTTTAGGGTTTAGGGTTTAGGGTAAGATCGGACAAATGCGAATTGCATGCAAACTGGAAACCCCAGGAACAGAAAAGATCTTTTTGCATCTCCTCGAGCTCAAAAGGACATTTTAATTTAGTTTTGCATTTATTTTGCATTTATTTTGCATTTATTTTGCATTTATTTTTCATTTATTTTGCATTTATTTTACATTTATTTTACATTTATTTTACATTTATTTTGCATTTATTTTACATTTATTTTACATTTATTTTGCATTTATTTTGCATTTATTTTGCACTTTTAGAGAAATTAAAAAGAAAATAAACATCATTTCTTTGCAGGAAAACATAATTTATTTATATTTTTTATTCTTTTTGGCATTTAAAGTTTAATTAAAGTTTAATTAATTTCATTTTAAACAAATTAAACATTTAAAGTTTAATTAAAGTTTAATTAATTTCATTTTAAACAAATTAAATAAACTTTGCTTTCAATTTAATTCAATTTGCTCACTGCTGTACACGCTGTACTGCTGCTTCAAAAAATAAACTGCCTTCCTGTCGCTCAGGCGCCTGCAAACCAAACCCTAAACCCTAAACCCTAAACCCTAAACCCTAAACCCTAAACCCCAAGCCCTAAACCCTCGGCTTTTAATTTGTTTTCCTATCTGCCTGGCTAGGCCTAAACCCTAGACCTCAAAACCTAAACCCTCGGTTCTCACTTCCTCTGTTCCGCTAACCACGCAGCAAACCCTAAACCCTAAACCCTAAACCCTAAACCCTCGGCTTTCACTTTCTTCGTCCTCCGATCTCCTCGGCAAGCGCCTTGACACGGCAACCCTAAACCCTAAACCCCAAACCCCCAACCCCAAACCCCAAACCCCAAACCCCAAACCCTAAACCCTAAACCCTAAACCCTAAACCCTCACTTTCTTTGTTCTGCTATTTCCTCAACAAGTGTCTTGACGTAAGACAGCGGCTGCTGCGTGTGAGCAGCAATTTGCTTCAGCTGAAGTCCAGCAGCTCCTGCTGCTTCGAAAAGTCGAAACAACTTTACTTTCAAAGCATCGGAGTCCAATATCACCCCGCGCTTCTCTGAACAGCAGCAGCAGCAGCAGCAGCAGCAGCAGCAGCAGCAGCAGCAGCAGCGGCGGCGGCGGCAGCAGCAGCGGCGGCGGTGGCTTCCCGAGGGTTTAGGGTTTCGCGCGGGATGCAGGCTAGGGTTTGCGGCGGGCGGCCGCTGCTGGGGCTCAGGCCCCAAGGGGGGTGTAGGGTTTAGGGTTTAGGGTTTAGGGTTTGGAGGAAATAAAGAAATAAAATAAAATGTTTATTAAAACCCACGTTTCGCCTTCGCCCTCGAAACAGACTCCAGCCCCCCCCGTTTAGTGTCGTCTGTAGCCAAAGAGCTCTTGGGAGTATAAAACTGAAATAACTGAAAAAAAAAGAAAAAATAAATAAAAATAAAACAATTTAATTAAAATAAAAGAATAAATTCAAAAAGAATTGCAAATAAAGCCCCAATAAACGCAAACGGACTTGAAATTCAAAACAGAATTCAAGTTCAAGTTCGTTGCCACAAGTGGAGTTCAAAATGGAGTTCTAAAGCAAACAAAAGAACAGATTTTTAAATTAAAAACAAAAAAGAATTTAATTAAAGAATAGATTTTTAAATTAAAAACAAAAAAGGATTTAATTGAAAGGAAATTTGTTCGAAATTCAAAAATATTCAAAAAATTCAACTTCGAGCGGGCGAATTCAGCACCAAATTGAACGCTTTCTCGCCTATTTTCCGGCATTTAAATCCATTTTAATTGCTATTTATTATTTATTTATTATTTATTATATTTATTTTTCATTTATTCTTTTATTTCCACTTTTTAATTCACTTATTTCCTCTTTTCAGACTTTCTGGCTCGGCAAGAACTCACTGTGTGCAGGCTGTCAAGCCCTGGGTCTCGGCGCATCTCCGTGACCGTGCCTCTGCCTAAAATAAAAACAAAATTAAATCCAAACCCTAAACCCTAAACCCTAAACCCTAGACCCTAAACCCTAGCCGCTAAACCCTAAACCCTCAACGCCGCTGTAAACTAGATGAAGGCGGACTTCTCTTGGCTCAAAACATGAAAACCTCAACCCTAGGCCCAAAACGCTAAACCCTTAACCCTGAGCCCTAAACCCTAAACCCTAAACCCTAAACCCTAAACCCTAATTTTTTCTCCGTTTACTTTTGCTTTGGTCTTCAGCAATGTGGCGCTCGTGGAGCACCTGCAGTACGCAGCAGAAGAGCAAAGACTTCAATTAGAACAATTTATTTGGTTTTATGTTTTATTTTTTACTTTTATTTATTTATTTATTTATTTATTTGTCTATTTATTTATTTATTTATTTATTTTTAATTTCTTGTTTCATTTATTTGCTGCTGCTTTCGTCTCGCGCGACCAGCTCGGTCTCAAACAAAGAATCAAACCGACTCACAAACCCTAAACCCTAAACCCTAAACCCTAAACCCTAAACCCTAAACCCGAAACCCTAAACCCTAAACCCTAAACCCTAGGCCCACCTGCTGGTACCTTTTGTCGAGCTTTGGCTGGAAGTTTGTCCTGTTGTTGATTTCCGCAATTATGTCCAAAACATGTTTTCCATTTCTTTGCAAAACTACAGAACGATCTGCACTTAGGCAAATTGCGTCTAAGTAGCAGGGGCCCCCAGTCTCGGGGTCCCTCACGATCAGGGTTTGCTGCAGCAGCAGCAGCAGCAGCAGCAGCAGCGAAGCAACTGCAGCAGCAGCAGCAGCAGCAGCAGCAAAGCAACTGCAGCAGCAGCAGCAGCGAAGCAACTGCTGCAGCAGCAAAGCTCGCCAGCAGCAAGTTCGCCGCTGCAGCAGCAACGCTCAGCAGCAGCGAACCCGCTGCTGCAGCGGCGAAACGCAGCAGCGGAAAATCTACTGCTGCTGCAGCAAAGCTCAGCAGCAGCAAACTTACTGCTGCTGCAGCAAAGCTCAGCAGCAGCAAACTTACTGCTGCTGCAGCAAAGCTCAGCAGCAGCAAATTAACTGCTGCAGCAACAGCAGCAAATTAAATGCTTTGGGGAGATCTAGAAAAGGCTTTTTTGCATATTCAGATAAACATGAGCGGCGGCTTCCAGCCCCCCCCCGGCACTCATTTTGTCTTCTTTTTCTGTTCTTTCTGTTTTAAAATGCTTTTAATTAATTTAAATATTTTATATTTCAATAATTAATTTAATTTAAATAATTAATTTCATTCATTGCAGTACAAAGAAGCCAACACGAAACGCGTTTCCGAAACGCGCACGCTCGGTGCAAACAAGGTCGCCGGAGGCTCCGCCGCAGATCGGAGGCCATTAATGGACTAAATGGGAAATTAATGCATCAATTTGAAGGAAATAATTAAATTAAAACGCATTTGAGTTTTAAAATTCGAAAATCTGCGAAGAAAAGCGAGAAAACGGACTTGTTCAAGTTACCTTTCCATTCTTCTCGGTCAACACGCCCGCCGTGGCGTCCGCAGGCGAAGAGCGCCACGCCTCCGCAACGAACTTCGGGACCTTAACCGAAAAGAAAACAAAACAATTAAATTAAAATTAAAATTAAATTAAAATTAAATTAAAATTAAATTAAAATTAAATTAAAATTAAATTAAAAAGAAAAATAAAACATTTAAAGTCAACTCCAGCCATGCAGGCAGTAGTGCTCATCAGTTGGAACTGCTGCAGCGCATTCAGGTGCGGCTGCTGCTGCTGCTGCGTGCTGTTGCTGTTCATTCGTTGCTGCTGCTGCTGCTGCTGCTGTTGCTGCTGTTGCTGCAGTTGCTGCAGCAGCAGCTGCTGCCAATGCTGCTTCCCTTTCACATCAAACGGCTCTTTTGCTGCTGCTGTTGCTGCTGCTCTTGATGACGCCCCTCCTGCACTTGCTGCTGTTGACTTCCTCTTGGTGCTTCTTTTTGCTGCTGCTGCTGCTGCTGCTGCTGCCAAGGCCCCTGTTGCTGCTGGCGCCGCTGCTGCTGCTGCTGCTGCCCCTGTCCCGGCTATTGGTGCTGCTGCTTCCATTGCTGTCGCTGTTGTTACTGCTGCTCTTGCTGCTGCTGCTGCCACTGCCCCTACTGTTGCTGCTGTTGCTACTTCCAAATCCCCGTCGCTGCTGTTGCTGCTTCCCCTCCTGTTGCTGCTGCTGCTGCTGCTGCTGCTGCTGCTGCTGCTGCTGCTGCTGCTGCTGCTGCTGCTGTGCGCACCTGGCTTGTGCTGCTTACTTTGATAAGGGAAAGCGCGACGGCTTTGCTGGCGGGCAAAATGCGGCTGGGCGTGAAGTCGGCTGGGGCGTAGGAAACTGGAAGGTTCTCCGCAGCGGCGCCGCCTCTTCTGGCCATTTTAATTCGATTAAATGATTAAAAAAGAGAATTAAAAACATTAAAATGCAAAAAAAAGGTATTTAATGGTTTAATTCTTCTTCTGCCGCGCCGAACAGCCGCCCGTGGCCCGGAATTCAAGTTTCAGCTGCTGCTGCGCTGGGCCATGCCGGGAAGGCAAACTCGCAGGCCTGAGGCTCCTTGCTGGCATTATTTGACTCCCTTGAAGAATTTAATTGAAGTTGAAGATTAAATTTGAATATATATTTGCGAAAAAGCGAAAAAGAACTCGCAAAGAGCCGCCAGCAACGCCGGAGTGCGGATCGCCGCGGCGGCTCGCGGCGCGGCGCAGGCGGGGGTAATGGAGGGAAAATAAAGCAATTTCGCGAATTAAATGCTTTAATTGAAAGCAATTTCGCAAATTAAATGCTTTGATTGTTTTAATTTGACTTTTATTTCCAAAAGTTCGTCGAAATTCAACTTTTCGCCGCGGCAGCTTCCGCTGGAGGCCGCAGACCCCACGGGGCTTGCAGCCGATGGGGGCCGATCTGCCCATTTGCTGCGCCAGAAAGCACTAAAAAGCACAAAATTGAACCACAAAAGACAATTTTAACTTCAAAAAAGGTCTTTTTAACTTTAAAAAGGTACTTTTAACTCTAAAAAGGTCTTTTTAACTTTAAAAAGGTCTTTTTAACTTTAAAAATGGTCTAATTAGCTCTAAAAAGGTATATTTAGCTTTGAAAAAGTGCATTAAAGTGGCAGTTTGAAGCAAATTCGCAGCCGCCTTCGCTGCAGCAGCAACAACGCGGGCGAAAGCCAATTCCGAATTTTAATTATTTAAATTAATTATTTAAATTAATTATTTAAATTAATTATTTAAATTAATTATTTAAATTAATTATTTGAATTAATTATTTAAATTAATTATTTGAATTAATTATTTAAATTAAAAATGAACTTTAAAAAGAAAAAGAGTTTTATTTAAATTCAAATTTGAAGTCGAATGGCCGCAACTGAGAAGACAATAGCTGCAAAGAAAGCAGCGAGTTAAGTTCAAAAACAAATAAATAAATAAATGAATAAATAAATAAATAAATAAATAATAAATAAATAAATAAATAAATAAATAAATAAATAAATAAATAAATAAATAAATAAATAATAAAATAAATAAATAAATAAATAAATAAATAAATGGTTTAACTAATGAAGAATAACTGAATTCAACATCTTCAGAACAGCGCGCCCCTCGGCCCCAATTTTGGCTGCACTTCTTCACTGCCTTTTAATTATCTTTTTAATATCTCTTTAATTATTTCTTTAATTATCTTTTTAATTATCTTTTTAATTATCTTTTTATTTATTCTTTTAATTATTTTTTGAATTATTTTTTTTAATTTTTAATTTGGAAATCAAAAACTACTTTTAATTTGGCGACTGGGAGAAAAGGAGCCAAAAGAAGCAGCAGTTGAACTAAAACGGCCACAAACACCACTGCGCAAACCCTAAACCCTAAACCCTAAACCCTAAACCCTAAACCCTAAACCCTAAACCCTAAACGCCTTCTGGCCTCGCTGCCCCAGGCTGCTCGGCTCTCCAGGAGAGTCTCAGTTCGCTCCAGCAGCCTAACTGGCAACTTGGATTGAGGATTGATTATTTGAATTAAATGCATTAATTCTTTTCTTTTGAATAAATAAATTCTTTTCTTTTAAATAAATTTAATTCTTTTCTTTAAATAAATTAAAACAGAAAAGAAAAACTGAACAAAAAGGAGAAAAGAAAAAGAATGGTCTTTTGCCTGGCCTCCCGAGCGGATCGGAAAAAGCTGAACTTGGTCGAAAATGGGTCAAAATTGGATTTTTTTGGACTTTTTTGAATTCTTTTGAATTAATTTGAATTATTTTGAATTATTTTTTAAAATTCCGGCAAATCTATGCCTTTTATTTGGCCCTTTTCCCCCATTTTCTGCTGCACTGCCGCCAAAGACACCCCGCGGGAAGCCGCGGCTTCTTCGTGCATGCGCCGCGTTCTTGAGGTGTACGTACACACGAACGCGCGCCGCGCCAAGTAGTAGTTGAACAAATGCTGCCGATTCAAAACTTTTAATCTCTGCAAAACAAAATAAATAAATAAATAAATAAATAAATAAATAAATAAATAAATAAATAAATAAATAAATGAACTTCAATTAAATCCAACTTTTATTCTTTTTTATTTGTTTTGTCCGGAGTTCAACTCTGCATCGAAGGAAATCCAAAAACTGGAAAAGCTGCTCCGACAAAATCGAAAGTGGGAAAAAGAGAAATAAAAAAAAGAGAAATAAAAAAGAATAAAAAGAGAATTAAAAGAAAGAAAAGAAATAAAAAGAAAAAGAATAAAAGGATAACTAAAAAGAAAAGAAATAAAAAGAAAAGAATAAAAGGAGAATAAAAAGAAAGAAAAGAAATAAAAGGGAAAAGAATTAAAAGAGAATTAAAAGAAAGAAAAGAAATAAAAAGAAAATAATAAAAGGAGAATTAAAAGAAAGGAAATAAAAAGAAAAAGAATTAAAAGAGAATTAAAAGAAAGAAAAGAAATAAAAAGAAAAAGAATAAAAGGAGAATTAAAAGAAAAGAAATAAAAAGAAAAGAACAAAAGGGGAATAAAGAGAAAGAAAAGGAATAAAAAAGAAAGAAAAAAAGTGAAAAAGAAAACAACAAAAGGAGAACAAAAAGAAACAAAAGAAACAAAAGAAACAAAAGAAATAAATAAATTAAATAAATAAAATAAAATAAAATAAAATAAAATAAAATAAAATAAAATAAAATAAATAAAATAAAAAGACTGCAACAAACCCGTTTGTGCTGCGCCCTGGTGGCTGCGTCCAAGTAAGGCAGCCAGTCCCTTGCTGCTTCCTGCGGCAGCTGCTGCTGCTGCAGCACGAGGCGCATTGCTGCTGCCAAACTTTTGGGGATTTCTTTCAAAATAAAAGTTTTGTGAAATAATTCATTTAATGGAACTTCCCGCAAACGCACACTCACGCAAGACCGCCAGGACTTGAGTACAGACACCCGGTAGTTGTGACCCACCTGCAGCAGCAGCAGCAGCAGCAGCAGCAGCACTGCAGCAGCAGCAGCAGCAGCATTGCAACAGCAACAGCAGCACTGCAGCAGCAGCACAGCAGCAGCACCACTGCAACAGCAACAGCAGCAGCACTGCAGCAGCAGCAGCAGCAGCACTGCAGCAGCAACAGCAGCACTGCAGCAGCACAGCAGCAGCAGCAGCACTGCAGCAGCAGCAGCAGCAGACTTGGAGGGTCTTGACGTGTCCCTTGCGGCCCGTGCGGCAGCAGTCAATGAAGACTCTGCTGGTGTCTGCGCCTTGCTGCTGCAGCAGCAGTTTGAATTTGTTGAGAAGGTTTATTAAGCTGCTGCTGCTGCGCTGCAGCGCGAGGGCCTGCAGCCAGTCCAGCGCGTCCTGCAGCAGCAGCCCCCGCAGCAGCCGCAGCAGCAGCAGCAGCTGCTTCCGCCCCGCAGCAATGCTGCTGCTGCTCGCCACCCAAACTTTCCCTTCTCCTTTTTTCGGAAAAGAAATATAACTCAAGTCTTCTCCACTTTCCAAACTCCCGCCTCCCCGCTGCAGCAAACCCCCCCGCCGCCGCCCCCTCACGCTGCTGCTGCTGCTGCTGCTGCTCCTGCTGCTGCTGCTGCTGCTGCTGCTGCTGCTGCTGCTGCTGCGGTGGGTGGGCGCGGGGGGCGGCTGCGGCGCGGCCGCGAGGAAGGCGGCGTCGCCGGCGCCCGCCGTGTCCGCCTCCGCCGCTGCTGCTGCTGCTGCTGCTGCTGCTGCTGCTGCTGCTGCTGCAGCAGCAGCAGGGTTTAAAGGATGGTCTGGAGGCAAGTAAGAATCGGAAACTCGAGGGAAAATATGTTTTCGAAAACGCATGCAGCGGTTTCTTCTGGTGATGTCTCTGCGGCGCCATTCCCAGAAGCCCTTGCGTCTCCAAAAGGGGTTTTTTATTCCTGAATTGCAAAAGCAAATTCCTTTTTATTTCTTTCTTTTTCTTTTGCTGCAGCAGCAGCAGCAGCAGCAGCAGCAAACGGGACAGCTGCCAGCTTAAATGCTGCTCAATTCGCTGCAAACAGCTCCAAGTCCGGCCGCGGGAGCGCACAGACTCGCCCTGCTGCTGCTGCTGCTGCTGCTGCGCTGCTGCTGCTGCTGCTGCTGCTGTGTTTGCTCTGCTGTTAGCCCGCCTGCCTCGCTCTGCCTGCTGACCTGCTCGAGTGCCCCTGGCTGCCCAGCAGCAGCAGCAGCAGCAGCAGCGGCTGCTGCTGCTGCTGCTGCTGCTGCAGTTGGGAGTGCCTCCTCGACTCAGCTGCAGCTCAGGGGGTCTCGGGAGATTAGATACGAGGGTTTAGGGTTTAGGGTTTAGGGTTTAGGGTTTAGGGTTTCGAGCTGCAACGTACCAGCTTTGGTGTTCCTCATTCCCGAGGAAAAGTGGCGGCGCTGCAGTGCCTCTGCTGCCTGCGCTGCTCTGCCTAATACACTGCTGCTGCTGCTGCTGCTGCAGCTGCAGCAGCAGCTGCAGCTGCTGCTGCTGCTAGCAACATGGGCACGTGGCAGGCTCGGCCCTCTGCAAGCCCGAGACGCCCAACAACCTTGCCGGCCATCTGCTGCTGCTGCTGCTGCTGCAGTACCTGCTGCTGCAGCAGCAGCAGCAGGTGGAGCAGCGGGGCTGATGCTGGGGTTGCGGGCGAAGCCTGGAAATGCCGGTGTGCATGCAGCAGCAGCTGCGAGGGGGAAAGAAGGAGAGAAAAGCCTTTTGTCGGAAGCAAAATGGGAAAAAAAAGAAGAGTGGCGAAGATGTTTCGGAAGAACAAATAAATGTTTTGTGTTGGACACAAAGATGGAAGTCGAGGGCGCGAGCGCCATGTTCAAGCTGAGGTGGACGTACACCTCAGAACTTCGCGTTTCGCGGAACTTGAAAAACTAAAAAGTCGAATTAAAACATTTTTAAATTAAATATTTTTAAAATTAAAATGTTTTAATGCAAAGTTGTTTTCTTTGCATGCGCAAAAAACACTCAAATGGCATGCGCGAGCCTCTGCCGACGGGTCGGGGCTTGGGCTGGCTGTGGAAAGCTGCGGAAGAAACTTGGTCTATTTTCCGTTTAAAATGCAGCTTTTGCAAATATTTTGAATTATTTAATTTAATTTTTATAATTTATTTTATTTTAATTGGAATTAAGCCACTCAATATTCACAAACTTCCCACCAGCTTGCTGCTGCCAGTCGCTGCTGCTGTTGTGTGCAGCTTGCTGCAGCGGGGAGGCAGCAGCAGCAGGAAAATGGAATGAGCCGCTCCTTCTCCGCCTTCTTTTTTTCATTTAAAAAGATTTAAATGAATTAATATTTAATTTAATTTAATTTAATTTAATTTAATTTAATTCAATTTAAAATGTCTTTAATTTAACTAATTTTGGTGAATTAAGAATAATCCACTGAGATGTCTTGGGCAGCACTTCGTTCTGTTCAAGACTGAGGGTTTAGGGTTTAGGGTATAGCGTTCATGGCTTGGAGTTTAGGGTTTAGAGTTTGGGGCTCTAGGGTTTCGGGTTTGAGGGCGGCGGCAGGGTTTAGGGCTTAGGGTTTAGGGTTTAGGGTTTAGGGTTTAGGGTTTTTCTGTCTCAGTGCAGAATTGCCTTTGCAGCTCCTTCGGCTCTTTTGTCTGCCCCTTTTGCTGTAGGCAAATGGAGAATAAAATGAAAGAAAAAGCAGCAGCTTTGTTTATTTCTAAACCCTAAAAAAGGGTTTTGACGATAGATCCCACAGCAAACAGCAAACTCCAGAAAGGCTCAGTGCAAAGCAACAGACAAAAACAACTCGAGATTTTAGGGTTTAGGGTTTAGGGTTTAGGGTTTAGGGTTTTGCACCATCGCGTTTTCGTTCGTTCCAGAGACGCCCAGCAGCACCGGCAGCAGGAGAAGCAGCAGCAGCAGCAGCAGCAGCAGCAGCAGCAGCAGCAGCAGCAGCAGCAGCAGAAGCAGCAGCAGCCAAAGCCCTTGCTGGAAAAGAACACTCGGGGCCCTCAGCAGCTGTCTTCGCTTAAAAAGTATTTTCCTTTTGATTTCAAAATTTTTGTAAAACCCTAAATTAGGGTTTAGCTATCTCGCCACTCAAAAAGATGAAAAGTCTAATTAAAGATTTTTTCAAATTTAAACTTTTTTTTAATTTCAAGAAATGGACTTTAGCTAAAAAAGAATTAAAAAAAAAGAATTAAAACTGGGACAAGCAGCAGCAGAAGAACTTCAGCTGCTGCTGCCTTCGAGCAGCAGCAGCAGCAGCAGCAGCAGCAGCAACAGCAGCAGCAGCAGCAGCAGCAGCCAGTCAGCTTTGCATCTTCCGTTTTAGAGACCGAAGAAGTTTTTAGGATTATTAGAATTTGAAAATTAAATATATTTTTAAAATAAAGTTTTAAAAATTTAAAAATTATATTTTAAAAAAGTGAATTAAAGAAATTTAAAAGTCCAAGTATATTCACTTTGATGTCTAGATGATAGGGCGTCTCAGCTGCGTTTAGGGTTTAGGGTTTAGGGTTTAGGGGTTAGGGTTAGGGTTTAGTGTTTAGGGTTTAACGTTTCGGGATTAGGGTTTAGGG